CTTGCCATAAGGAGATAGAGATAAGTTCCTTCCTTTATTGGGCAAACTAAGGCAGAAAATTGACCACTTTGTTTACAAATAAGTCTGTATCACCTAAAATATAAACAAAACAGGTCTCCTCACCACTACCAGTACTCTTTCTGCTGGCATACTGGAGGCCAATGGGAGTGATTCACAGGAACCACAAACATGAAAATAAAACCCCATATAATAGCTTAGTCTTGTGCCTCAGACAGCTCATTTTGCTCTTGAAAAGTAATTTGTTGAAGGAGAATGCATATATTGACCACCACAGTCTTGGAAAAAATTAAAAATTAAACAAAATGTCTAATATTGAGGGTAATTTAACCCCATCCTGACAGGTCACGTGTACACACTTCATAACAAACCACTTGGTCTGTGGGGTACAGGTGTACATGATACCCAGCCCCAAGGTGTTAAACTTACATGGGAATGTGCACAGACCAGCCTTCCATTGCAGAATAAAGGGATCAAAAGCCATAATAAATAGAATTTGATCTAATAATGCCCTATTTTCCTTGACAGACTTGAAATCAAATAATTAGCTAATATATAACATAAATGTACTTTTCAACATTCACTCAAAATCTTCCTCCACAGGGTAATCCTTTATTGCACAATATTCACAAAAGAACTTTTTAATAATCCAGTTCAACCTGACAGTTTTAATAAACTTTCTGATTGGTGTCAATAAAAAATAATAATAATAAAATAAATAAATAAAACCACGTCAATCAACTAAATTCACAGCACGCACCAGAATCCTACACACATTCTGTAATCACATCAAATAAATACAGATTTAAATAAGTAAATAAATATATCAATAAATAAAGTTTTTTTAAAAATCTAAAAAACAATCACCATGTACAAATACACTACAATATAAATAAAGGAATTTATTTCCTTCCTTCACCTCCACCACTACGATACTTCTACCAAAAAAACAATAACAAAGAATTACATTGCAAAGGGTGAAAACGTGCCCCAAATTTGTGCACAAAATCCCCAAGTCATGTCGCAAATATCGCACCGTCAACTGATCACAATAAAGTCTGTTATTGTGTAATGTGTCTACTGTGCTGTCTGTATTAAAAACCTGTTACGCCAAATAATACAGCAGAATTTGAAAGTTAAACTGTATTCTAATACATGCTATGTGATATGCATCTGAAGAACCATTATCTATAAAACTATTCACACACAAATGCATCTTTAAATAAGGTGTAAAAGCAGTATTTCTATAATTTCACCATCAAAACTCCAGTTCATCATTCAATAAAGATAAATGAATATACAAAAAGAGATTATCCATTCTCTGCTCTATATAATTCATATAAAATAATCAAAAATAATTATTATCATTATTATTGTTAATATTTTAATTGTCACTGTTATCAATATCATTTTTACAATAATAATCATCATAATACAACAAGATTCATAGTAATCACAATACTAATCATTTTGGTGGTGGTGGAAATGGTACTACTACTAATTATTATTATTACTATTATCATTATTATTATCATCTATCATTATTATTATTATTATTATTATTATTATTATTATCATCACATCATCATTATTATTATTGTTATTATATTTATTATAATAATAATAATGATAATAATAATATCAATAATAATAATGATAATAACAATAATAATAACAACAATGACACAAAAAATACAGAACCTCCACTGTTTTTAATCACATGAAACTATAATTTTACAACTATAAGGACCCTCCATATTAATAAATAATAATAATAATAACAACAATTAACAAAGTACTCTCAACTAAAATAATGTGTGTGATTCACTGACATGTCACTTCTCCTAAAAGGCACTATGTTTCTGCACCAAAGACGGACACCAAACGACTGCTTGTTGAGTCCACCTAAATTAACACTAGTGATATTCATCTTTCAGCATCTGTCTTTCCACTGCCCTTTTGTAATTCACACCTTTCTTTTACATTCTAAAAGAAATAAGAGATAAGGCGATGTCACACAATTCAATCAGTTTTTCACTTCCTATCTCAAATAAATAGTTATCTACAAACATAATATCTGAGGGAACTTGAGCAAGCACTACAGCATCAAGCAAGTTACATGTCATGTATTTCATAAGCTCCACTGGAAATCAGTGTCATGATATGCTTGAGAAAATAATCAGAAATCACATTAATTACAACACTGCAACACTGGCAAGATAATCTTTGTTTTAATAACAAACAAAACTCTAGAATAAACAGGATAATAAGTCCCACTTTCCCACACCTTTAAAAGGTCACAACTACATTTTCAAAGTATGGAATGAAAAATAAATAAACAGCTTTGTAGACAAAGTTCCTTACAATCTTCCTACAGGAAGGTAATGAATAACATGAAATGCCCATCTCAAAAAAAATAATAATAATAAATATCAGAAAAGCAAAAACGTAACCAATATTCTCTCAACTTTTAGCATGAGATTCTATATAAGGACAACTCTAACTGAATCTTAGTTTTTGTGTGTGTGTGGTGGAGGGGGACATAAAAATTACATCTTTAATTACTTTAAACCAATAACAAACATTAGTTCATATTGTTACAAGGAGATTACAGTAAATTACTTCTTTAAAACCCTGTTAAGCATCCCTTGTCTATAAAAATATACACTGTATAGTGCTAATTTCTCTACACAGCTTATGAGAACATTGGAAAGTCTTCCTGTTACTAAGACACTTTCCAGAGAAAACTAGTATTATCTACAAAGGCATCATGATATCTTGAGAAAGAGATATTGGACATCAATTCCATATTTTCAGAAAAAAATATCATCAAAATCTAGAAACAACAATGTTTTATGATAACCAGATCTGGCAAAGATCTTGCCTAAGAATTTATGGACATAATTTTATACACAAGTGCATGGCTATTAAAAATGATGTAAGCCACATCTATACCAAATGCCATTTTCTCATATAATTACTCAGCCCTGTAAAAGAGAATTTGTAAAGAATAGAGACTATGTCATTGGTTTCATAATCATATGGTAGCAGACAGACCCTGTAAAGAATAAATATATATCTCCCTGGACTAGCAATGGCTCCATCTCAGTGTACTGGCATACCGTGGGAGCTTGCCAAAGCTCAACTCACCAGCTAGCATGCCGACAGGTTCAAACAACCAATAACACTAGGTTACCACAGTGACACTGTTTGTCACATTACACAAATGATTAAAACTATCCAATATTTCATATAAAGAAGTGCAATTATGATCTAATTCCATTGCAAGAGAAAAGAATCCTAAAGCATTATTTCCCAATGAATCATATTTCTCAACTGCTCTGCAAGCACAGCAGCTGCCAACTATTAGGAGTTTCTAGGCCTCCCAATCATAAAGAATTGATGCTGAATGCAGCAAGCTAATTAAGCCTACAATTTTTCTCAGAGCTTCTTAAATTTTTTTTCACCTACACCATTTCGTGATAAATGAGACACGAAATAACTATCAAAAAAATTTGTTAATAAGTAGGCTTTGAAAACTAGAAGCATTTAAGTCCCCAACTTGCATTACCCAATGTGCCATCTTTAACTGCCATACAAAAAGCTAGTCTAGCTGTCAAAAAATGTAATCCTTTCTGCTGTTTGTGCCAGCAAGGGAGAAATGTAAACATGGAATGATCCTTGCTTTACGTGAAGTATCAATATACAGTTAGATATGTTCAAAATAAATAATCTACCTATCATTGCAACTTAGCATGCAGTTTCACTAAAGTTCTGGAATCGAGACTTACAAGCCAAGCACCCACTAATATACTGAAACTAATGAAACAGAATATATAGCAAAATTACTCACAAGTCAGGAAATATTTTTTTAAGTTGTCATAAAAGCTTTGGAGATAAAAATAACCCCCCAAACATCTCTATACAAAAGAGTACATAACAAACCATATATTACACAACACTGCTGACACTACCTCAACAATAACAACATATCTCAAGGTAGACCAGAATAAACTTTTGATTAGAGCAACATGACGAAATCTGAATCAGACCTTTATCAAGTTCTGTTTCCATGAAAGTAGACAGGTGAGAGTGAATGCAATGGATAACCAATGCTGCAACAGGTAAGTACATCTGGTAAGGTCAACTCACCAAACTATTTCTATAGATACTTTTGGTCCAGCAATTAGTCATTTCTATAAATTGTAACATCTATCTTATGAAGGCATTGGTTTGTGCACCATTTAAAACCAAGATGTTTTCCATTATCAAAAATATAGCTCATATCATTATTTTCAATTTTCATAACAATTATTGCAAATCTACAGCTTTCAAAATGTAAGTATGCATGCATGCATGCATGCATATATATATATATATATATATATATATATATATATATATATATATATATATATATATATATATATATATATATATATATATATATATAAGCTGTGTTCACTTTCTTTGATCTTCATTAATAATGAAGTACAAAATAACATAATTCACACACATAGCATCCTGTGATGACAGAATGCAATTTCAAAGAGATTCTCTGGTAAAAGCAGTGTAAATATGAAAATCAGCAATACAACAGAAAGTTCAGAGACACAAAATCCACCTTCAAAATGCATCAACAGAGGCATGAGGAGAATTTCACCGAGACACAGAAGAGGCTTTCAAGGTGAAAACTTGGTTCTAGATGAGACACAACCAAAAGCTGCCTCAGAATCCCACCAGATTCTTTTAGAAAAAATGTGAGACTGAAAATAAACATTCTGAGCAAAAGGTAAACAATAACTAAATCCAAAACATTTTGGAATGAGACCTATGGATTAAAAACAAAAGAATCAATTATATGAGATAATACCAAAAAGGGAAAAGAAAAACCAGAATCAGAGGCTGAACATTCCTACAAAAGGTAATACGGAGTATGGAAATGTGAATATACAAACAAACGTACGTATGTACGTACGTACGTGTGTGTGTGTGTGTGTGTGTGTGTGTGTGTGTGTGTGTGTGTGTGTGTGTGTGTGTGTGTGTGTGTGTGTGTGTGTGTGTGTGTGTGTGTGAGAGAGAGAAGAGAAATGATATTCATTTTATCATTTCTTATGACCTCAATCACATTCCCAGGAAATAATAAGTTATTTCTCTGATTGAACACCAGCTTCAACAATTGCATGTGCATTTGCTTTCTACAACACTTTTCATGAAATGCAATAAACAATTTCTCCACAGCATCTCACCCCCCCACAACAGAAAATGCACAAAAGGCTCGGAAATGAGAAAAAGAGGACAAATTGTGTCATGTTCAGCTATGCGGACGACATACTCAAACCTAAACCTTTGACGTCTCAGCAGCCGATTTCCTCTGCTGCAGCTGCTTCAGTCGGTGGCTGCAGTAGACGCGGAGGAACAGGGCGGCAAATACCAGCATGATGCCCAGGACGCCCAGGACAGTCACCGGGTGGGAGTACAAGATGCACGAGAGGAGGATTGCCAACCCCTGAAAACAAGATTCTCAATCAGATTTGACATATTTGTGTTATGATGAAAGATTGATCCATTACACGTAACTATCTGCTATAGCACTAGATGGCTATACAACTATGCGTGATAACAAGTATTTGAGAGAGCATGAATTACGACTTAATGGGAATAACCTTAACTGGTCCTCTAACACATGATCTATCCACATACTTTATCAATACTTTCCCAGACACAATTATCAGAGTCAAATACTCCAAACTATGAATCTGTTTCTGGGTTCTCAACACATCTTTCTCTTTTTTACCTCTCATCAATGTTTTACCGCAATGCATTCAGAGACTGTTGATGAGGGTCCTTTTCTCTATCAGCCACTGTTCACACTCATAAAAAGTAATCTGTTGCCAATAAAACTTACTAACATGCACATGTACTGTCACCTACACTGTTTGTTTAAGGGCAAAAACAGGAAAGCCAGCCAATAACTGACTAATGAAGGCTAATAGTATAACCAATAAGAATCGGAATAGTGTCAAAACAACCACTGTATGAAATTTTGAGGTGTGACTAATAGCAGTTATTCGCAAAGGTAGAGCTTTTGATAACAGAGTTAAATGTAATAATTTAGTTTCATTATCAATTAATATGAGACACATCATTTAAGTGAAGATATTCCAGCAATGGAAAATAAAAGTAAATGTCTAACTTTGGCTTCTTTTGGAATACAAACCTATATATAGAGAAAAAATATATATATTTTATATCTTTTT